GGGAACGTGTTTCTCCCCCACCTTTCTCTAACAGAGATGACAAGAGAAAGAAGACAGAATTAGGTTGTTCCCTCTTGAAGACTGTGCCGTAACAAGGGACAAAATGAGACAAGCTTATTTTACAAGAATAGATAAGTGCGATTTTTCTGTGATTACTTTATATTGCTATTTTTTCCCTTATGCATGTCTAAAGCTCTTTTTGTGTGATATTTGTAAACTGGACGTGGAGGACTTACAGCAGTTGAGGGTTTTATTTTTCAGTATGTGTTTGCATCAAGTAAAATACCTTCATCTAATAGGTGAAAGCTTTTCCAGGGGAAGCTCTCCCTGTGTTGTGTTTTTATTACACTATCTCAGATCATTTCAAAGTAGTTTCCAAAGTCTCAGGGAATATTGTTTTTCATATAACTTTAAAACTCCACAGTCTGATATTCAATAATAAGCACAGAATAAAATATCAACTATAAGAAGCATGTCGCTGAGAACTTTCAGCCCACCTGAATTATTTTATTTAACGTGACATGGAGGAAAAAGGATACAGTGATTACTTGATGGATTCCAAGCCACAAACAAGGTGTTCCCTAAGGATTCATAGTCCTGATTCAAGGGAACAAAGCAAAAGAATTGGCCGGCCACTGTGTTTTTCTTAAAGTGTCTCAAGTCTACATCTAAATGAGAATAGGTCTCCATAAAGATAATGGTAAAATTCAATGTGTTCAACAAAGAGTGTTCAACAAAGAACACTCTCTGGCTCACGCCTGTAATCCCAGCATTTTGGGAGCCGAGGTGGGCAGATCTTGAGGTCAAGAGATAGAGACCATCCTGGCTAATATGGTGAAATCCTGTCTCTACTAAAAGTACAAAAAGTTAGCTAGATGTGGTAGCACACACCTATAGTCCCAGCTACTCAGGAGGCTGAGGCAGGAGAACAGCTTGAACCCAGGAGGGAGAGGTTGCAGTGAGCAGAGATCACGCCACCGCACTCCAGTCTGGGCAACAGAGCAAGATTCCATCTAAAAAAAAATAAAATAAAAGGAGCACTGTCACATAGTCAAACATGTCACATCATGTGCCTAGCAAGAAGTGATGGCACATTTGTAGCAAGAATACCAAAAATATACTGTACCAGGGGTATGATGTCGTAACATTGTAGTGTTATGTTAAAACTGCTAAATGTTTCTGTAAATCACAAAAGGTAAAATTTCAGTAGTGTCAAATGCTTCAATCTAATAACTGAGAAAAGCATTATGTATAAAATCGAGGATTTTCAAATGCTTATTGTTTCAATCAGGTTTCTTCAGAGAAACAGAATCAATAGCATATATAAAGATATAAGATTTATTACAGGAATTAGCTCAAGTGATTATAAAGACCAAGAAGTCTCACATTACACTATCTGAAAACTGGAGAACCAGGAAAGCCAGTTGCATATTTCAGTCTGAGTCAGAAAGCTTGAGAACCAGGAGGCTAATGGTGTAATTCCTAGTAGAGTCTGAAGGCCCAGGAACTTTGATATTCAATGTCCCAGGGAAGGAGAAAATAGATATCCCAGCTCAAGAAGCAAGAGAGAATATGCCTTTTCTCTACCTTTTTGTTCTATTGGGCCCCCAACAGAAGAAAAGATGCCTCCCCACGTTGGTGGGTACACACCAATCTTCTTTACTCAGTCTACTGACTCAAATGCTAATCCCTGCTGCTATGCTAAAACACCCAGAAATAATGTTTTACCAGCTATCCGGGCAACACTTACCCCAGTCAAGTTGACACATACAATTAACCGTCACACTTATTTAGTGTTACTTCTGCGAGAACATGCATTGATTCTATATAATTATAGATTTAAAAATCAGTTATTTTCCTGTTTTTTCGATTTTCAGGGATTAGTACAACTCCTACTTAACATAACGTAAAAGTTAGTCTCTGTTGTCGGATGAGCTGGACCCGAATGCAAACTCTACCTTGTATTGAGTATGATCTCAGGCAAGTAACTACCCTTCTCTACCTCAGTTTATTTTCAACTTAAAAATGCAGAAAATAAAACTGCCTCCCTCTTAAGGTTGTTTTAAGGATGATGTAAGATGATATCGATGACGTACACACGAACACCCGGAGCTCTATCAACTCTTCAATTCAATGGAGCTTCTTACCTTCATTGGCCCCCTCCATGTCCAGTCAGCCTCCTCCTGGTTGCTCTTTCTTACCCAGCCTGGACTTCATAGTTGATCATCTGAAATACTGCCTCGTCAGCATTCAATGCCACTACTATATTATTATTGTTGCAGCAAAATCCTAGTGCTACCTCACTATTAAACCCCACTCACATTCTTGGCTTCTAAGACTCTGCTGCTGAGTGTTGAATAAATTCACACAGTTATGCACGTGGATGTTACTACAAAGTATTCTCTCACACATCACCTGAGACCTCAAAACTGCCCAGTGACATTTCTTTGTATCCTCAGCCAATGCTTGCCTTCTTCAGCAACTATCTCAAATTATGTCCTCATTCTTTAGGGTTCTTATGATGGACTGAATGTTTGTGCCCCCTTCCAATTCATATGTAAAGGCTTAGTTATGATATTGGGAGATGAAGTCTTTGGGAAGTGACTAGGTAATGAAGGTGGAGTGCTCATAGATTGGATTAGAGCGCTTATAAAAGAAGCCCCTGGGCCGGATGCGGTGGCTCACACTGCACTTTGGGAGGCTAAAGTGGGCAGATCACCTGAGGTCACGAGTTCGAGACCAGCCTGGCAAACATGGCGAAACCCTGTCTCTACTAAAAATAAAAAAAAATTAAAAAAAAAATTAGCCAGGCTTGGTGGTGGGCACCTATAATCGTAGCTACTCGGGTGGCTGAGGAAGCAGAATCAGGAAGCTTCTAATCAATGCAGAATACCCTACAAGGAGCAGGAAAAAGAGAGAGAGAGAGTGGGAGCAGGAGGTGCTATGGACTTTTTGTGTTTTTCGTGTGTTCACAGATCTCTTGTGAACTCTGTGGGAGAGCTCACTTATCACCAAGGGGATGAATCCAGGAAACGGAGGTTGCAGTGAGCCAAGATCGTGCATTGCATGCCAGCCTGGGCAACAAGAGCAAAACTCCATCTCAAAACAAATGAACAAACAAAAAAAAACCAACCAACCAACAAACAAAAAGAAGCTCCTCACTCCTTCTACCATGTGAAGAGACAGTGAGTAGATGGCCATCTATGAGCCAGGGGGCAAATCCTCACCAGACACCAAATCTTGCAGCTTTTTGGTTTTGGATTTCCCAGCCTCCAAAACAGTGAAAAATAAATTTCTGTTGCTTAGAAGT